TAAACTCTACACTCGAATGTAAGCTGTTAGCACTGCCTGGTGTGATGCCTAAAAGTTAACATCATTAAAAAGCTGTATAAAGTTTCAGGAATTTGCTTAATTTGCTCTTTAGAACATGAAAATTTTTTTGGTTGTATGTATGTTGGTTTGTAACATCAAAGTGCGTTATTTATAAACTTCGTAAATAAACCGGCTTTCCATAAAAAAAATTAAGTAAGTTTACGTGGTAACCAGGCATTAACGTATTTAAATGAACTACCCTCATATATAGCATTATCAGTTTAAATGAAATCATTTTCAAATTAAATGAAACCTTTTCATTGAATCTAAAAAAGGTTTCATTCGCTTTATTTGAAAAAGGCTTCATTTAATTTGAAAATGGTTTCGCTTCGTTTGGAAATGGTTTCTTTTAATTTGGAAAAAGTTTCACTGAAAATGCTTTAAATGCGAATGACAAACTTTGCAAAAAAGATACCAAAATTTTCAAGTTTATGATAATAATTTTAAGAATGGTAAAGTGCATGTTTGAAGTCGCTAAAAAGTCATGTTGATTTTATATCTGTTTTTGTTGACGGTGTGACGCATTTTTTTCAAAGTACATATGGCACACCTAGATCTAAAGTGCGATAAACTCGAAAAAATAAAAAAATTAAGAACATTTTTTGCTCAAATCAATTCATCGGACTTACCTCCAGTTAATACAAATATGTTTTCTTCATAATTATGTACGAAACTATTGTTTTATCTGTTATTGTATTAATTGCGCGGTATCTTAAGCAGTGTTTGCATTGTTCAACTTTACGTTCAACTCAACGCACGATTGCACGAAAAAAAGTTGAATGGCTAAACGTTTTCTGGCGAACAACTTTGTTGAAAGCGATTAATTGAAAGGGCGTTCAACCAAAAGTTGAACAATGCAAACGCTTTTTAATTGCGAATCTTTTGATACGTTAATACTTTTAGCCACTCAAACCTTTTCCTTTTCCGTGCAACCCTGCATTGAGTTTAACGCAAGGTTGAACAATGCAAATACTGCTTAATATACCCGGCGCAGGTATCAAATATCGTCGTTTCAACTTTCTCTAAACTAAATACCTTTGCATGATAAGCGGGGGTGCTTTTCCGGATTTCAAACGTTTTCATAATATTTATGTCGAGTTAGATTTAATGAAATAATTGAACCAACTTTGGTAGAAATTGATAAAGCGGTTACCGAGATACACCTTTGTAGTCATAAAGTAGGCGGTGCCACGACCAATTCCTAAAAGTCTGTGGCAGTCTTATTTATCGTTAAGAGATTATTGTAAATGTTAACTTTGAGTAAATTAGCGTCCTCAGTTATTGAAAATCGGAGTTTCCATGCGTCTGAAATTTACCGTTATACGGGATTTGAATAATTTTCAACGAGTTACTTTTCCGTGATACCTATATGAATGTGCTCATAAGAGGGCGGCGCCACGCCCATTGTGAAAATTTTATCGTAATCTGCTTTTCTGCTAAGTGGTTATTGCAATAATCGTTTTTGGTTGAATTAGCTTAAGTAGTTACTGATTTATCGCAGTTTTCGTGTTTCTGTAAATTACCGTTATACCGCGTAGGCCCGAGTTCAAAGATTTCCAACAGATTTCTTAACTGGATCTTAATCAAGGTTAGTACCGATTTTGGTAAGGATTGGTGTAGCGGCTACTGGGATTTGGTATTGCATCATAGCGAGCGGGACCACGCCTATTTTTTTAAATTTCATAATAATATTTTTTTGTACGAAAATTGTACTGCATATACTAATTTTTAATAACTCAGATTCAATATTTTCTGAAAAATCGTAGTTTTTCAATTTTTTGAATATATCGTTAAATGGGAAGTGGGCGTGGTTACAGTCCGTTTTCGTCCGTTTTCAATACGGACCTGTCTTAAACTTCGTTGAGATATCTCAAATTTTGTTCGAGTTATCATGTACACGGACGGACGGACAGACAAACATGGCTTAATCGACTTCTCTATTCATTCTGAGCATTTACCTTTGCATTGTTTTACATCTATCTCGATTCCTTTAGGCTGTTACAAATAACCGTTATTCGAACAAAGTGATAATACCCTTATGCACAGGTATGGAGCACCTGTATTTAGAGCGCTGTCGGAACTTAATCTCTACAAAGTTGATATTGAATTCTCATCATCAAAACCTTTATTAAAGTCCACGCTTGAATCGTTTTATTATTAGGCTAAGTTATCAAGTAGCTGTATTGTTATTTACTAGTGTTCATGTATAAAATTTTGTTTTCACACTTTGCGTAGTTTACTCTGTAAAATTTTTAATCATAGATGTCTTCTTTGGTGCCCATCGCCTACACGAAAAGGGCCATAGATCTAACGTAAAATTGTTCTCTCTAAAGCCGGCATATGCTTCTCATCTTTATTCGACATCGTCCACAAACATCTGTAAACCATTATTGTAAGTAAATATATATTAAGCAGCTGACTTTACTCCTACCAGCGGATACTGTTTCGTCAGACAGAGTTCCCTAACATATCTCCTGCTATTAAAACATGAAATGTCGTTTTTAGAGTTAGGCGTAATTCATTGTGATTGATTGTGTCTTAGAAAATTAGTTAATTTTAATGTTACGACTTTATAAATTGAGTATTTTTGGTAAAAAAATTTAATTAATTTGAAATGAAAGAGAAGCTTTGAATCATCTTTTACTTACTTCTCACCAAAAATATAAAATGAAACATATCGCTCACTTGAAGACTGTCACAACTTAAAATAACGTGATTTTTCAGGTCACCCGTTTGAAGTTTTTATTTTGTCCCGAAAATGTTAAAAAAAATATGCATATTGTCTGCTTATGCAGAAACGACACACGATCTTAATAAACATTTTTTAAAATCTAATATAAAGCATGATATTACGAGTGATTCTGTATCATTTTATAAAAAAAATAAGAAAATCTTTTACTAAATGAGCATTTGGTTGAGACTCACCTTCAACCGCAGATAACGTTCATGCTTTCCCATTGCACCTTGACGCGTCTGCAGAACATAAATCGTATTGATGTGCGATAAAATATTCTCGAAGCTCAACTGTAGATGCGGACGTATGGCCTCAAGTACTTCTAGTATCGAACAATTTTCCACCGAAACTCTATAAAAATACATACAATTTAATATAAACTTACATATTGCTACCTAAAGGTGAAAAGCTTAGCTTAGCTTTTTTTTTTAATTTAGTTTTTGATGCAGAATGGAAGGTAATACGAGACTACAACTATTTTTCGTCTCTTCTGAATAATCTCAAAAATGTACTTTGCATCTTTTCGCCCTTAGGGGTAACGATATGTAGATATGAGGATATTAGGGTGGTCTAAAAATACATGTGAAAAATTAAAGTCAGAATTGTTATGCTCTCACCACCTAGGATTTTTTATTTAATTCTCAATTAAATTATTTTCAGTTTCAATAAGCAATTTATTTAAGTGAGTTAAAAGTGGCTGTAAAAAAAAACTAGGCTTTCGCTTGTACTTAGAGCTTTCGAAAGCTTTGACACGCTGTGTTGTAAAAGTAGGGCTGGTATAAAAGTAAGCAGCTGATACACAATGATCAGGTGATTAAACGTGTAACACATCTGCGTGTGTTTAATCTGATTTAATTTATATTTAAGTGAAGAGCATAGGTGGTCACTTAAATCAAAATTAAAAACTAATTAAAATGGATTGGCGGAACCGAAAATTCGTAAATCAAAGTAATTTTCACTTAGATGAATATGGTGAAACTGGCTGTTAGAGGTTGCTCAAAGTTTTCCACGTATTTTACATGAAAAAAAAAAACACTTTTCGTAGAAATGGCATAGAATTCTTGAAAATTAATATTTTTCAATCGAAAACTCTGTTTCTCTTCAGGGGATTTCCAGAAATTATATACAATTCTTTACGTAACCATTTTCTCATAGTAATTACATATATTTTATAGATGCCAGAAAATGCAATGTCGGGACAAATAAACAATCTTTAGTATTAAAGAATGGTTAAATAAACAAATTTAACAAATATTGATTTTCAAAAATTCTATAACATTTCTACAAAAAGTTGTTTTTTTTTGTCTATATAGAACACATGGAAAACTATGAGCACTTTGAGCGACCTCTAAATATTTTTTGATTTTAAAATAAAAAAGGAGTTTTTTTTTTCGATATAGCACAATCCTAGGTGGTAAGAGCATTAAAATTCCGACTTTACTTATTTCGGACCACCTTGTGCACGTACATACGTACTTACATAGCTGGTCAACGGCAAAGAAAAGTGTAGTGGTAATTTCAACATTTTATCGACAAAAAAAAAAAATAATTAAAAAAGGAAACTCATTAAAATTGCATGGTAAGAAGATACCTTAAGAGCGAAATAAATCATGAAGTAGAAAGGTCGACAAAAAAATAGTGTCTCAAAAATTTTTGGAATTTTTTGTTTGCCCTTTGTTATTGAGAGAAACTGCAATTTTGCTTAGTTTGTGTAGTATAAGAGATTTTTGTGTGTCGGTTGATGTGTTCGTGAAGTTGAGCATTCACTATCTGTCATTGTCCATATTTACCTTGGAATGACGCGCGAAACGGATTTTCCTGCTTGCACAATTTTCATCTGTCGATCGAACATCAAATGGAATGGGAACACCTTGCAAAATGTGGCGGGCGAGATAAGTGGCGCTGCATTTCGTAGTTGAACAGAAATAAATACAGAATAATGGAAACAAAATATTTATTTTATTATTATTATTTGCTGTATGGAATTGAACAAAATGTATTTGTAGATAAATGTACATAAAGCTTAAGGCAAGCATGCCACAGTTTTCGAAGTATGTACATATGTACTATGTAATACGCAGTGATGATTTATATTGTTGAGTGCATTCGAATACGTACATATGTAGCTAACTGAATGGAAATTACATATAATTGAAACTCGTGTTATAGGTCTTACGAAAAATCATTAACTTCCTTCGCGAAATAAGTATTTTGTACCTGGTGCTTTTTCAATGTGAAAAATAAGTACATATAGTACACAAAATCAATGCACATTAAAAATGCATTAAGCCTTGTTTTCACTATGTCAAATTCAATGACATATGTCGTCAAATAAATGAAAACACATTGTCAAATGCGATTAGAAAACGGTATATCGACTGAGTTAGATCAGAATAGGTCTTCAGTCGTATACATGCGCTGCTATACCAGCTATATGTTCGCTTTTGGCCCATAATATCATCAGCGAAGGTGCGGATGAAAGAGATAAACTTGTGTCAAAATATGTCGACAAATTTTGATGTCAAAATATGACATAATGAAAACCAGCCTTTAGAGCAAAAACCACATTTACGTGTATTTCGCTGTTGATTCTGGTGTTTAAAGTGTCAAAACTGCTCTAATTTTTTTCTTCTTTACATCCCGAAATCCATCCATCCCTTTTCGGACCCAGCAACCAGCGTTTGTGCTGCTGAGTTAAGTAACCATTCCAAAAGTTGCTTTTAAATCACTTGTTTTGCTTCACATGCAGCAGGATTTTGACAATTTAAAACTTTTGTGAGAAGAAATTAAAAATATTTGACATTTTAGAGACCAAATAATAAACAAAAAATCAAATGAGCTGCTCTACTGATATTACCAGTTCAATATGCCTTGCATAAAATAAAGTTATTTCCAGTACTATAAGAGTGTTTGGTATCACTTGGATGAGTCTGACAATTTTATGGCAATCGATTTCATAAATTTCGCAAAAAGCTTTAATATTCCATAAAAAATATACATATTTTTCGAGGCTGCAAGCCACTCCAAACTTACGGTTCAATTCAGTGGTTCGAACCACTTAGAAAAAACTTGTACCGGTACAGAATTGGTTCATAACGTATTCATGAACCGCGTGCGGTTCGTTCGAATGGTTAAATTTTTTGAAGTAAACTTCTTTAGCGGCGGCTGGCTGGGAGTAAATTGGCAAATTCAACGGAAATTGCACACGGAAATGGTGCACGGAAATGGTTGGGCTGAAACAAGTTGCTTCTTGTGTGTTTGCATATGGTATTAATTTAACAAAAATTTTTTAATAAAAGGTCAAAGAATAACACTTAGAAAAAGACCAATACAAGAATGAAAGTAAAGGTGAGTACGTACATAGATTAAAGAAAAGGATAAAGGCAAAGGTAAAAACAAAAACAAAAACAAAGATGCGTAAAGATAAAGGCAAAAATGAAGACCATGGTAAATTTTAACACTTTGCTTATATGTATATATAAGGTCAAAGGCGAAGGGGAATATGTAGATTAAGAAAATGATAAACATAAAAGTAACGACAAAGAGGACGAGGAGGATACCGATAAAAGTAAAGATGAATATAGGGTAAGAAAGATTAAAATAAAGGTAATTTGAGAGAGAAAGGATATAGAGAGAGACACAAAGACTCAATCTGGGAACTATTTTCCCTGTTCCGGGGTCCCTCTTCAAATGATGAATATCTAATAACTAAAAAAATTATACCTTGCGAGCTATATATGTAATTTAATTTTTTTTTTTTTTTAACCGGTCATTTACACAGCAAAAATCACAATTACTGACAATACGAAAATTCAATAAAATTTTCATTAAAATTTCAACTTTCCAATATGAATCTTTAGAACATTTTTGATATGCAGTTTTTAACCCGTTGAGTATTTTCCCGTAACCAAATTTTTACACTTTTTTCCATATAATTATTGATTTTTATGAAATAAAATTAGTATAGAAAAATAACACAAAAATTTAGCTCGAAAAAGATTATGAATATTTTTACATATATTTCACATTTTTATTTAAATAATACGAGGAGCAAGCATTGGGCGCCACATTTTGCGCCACATCAATACAATACCACATACAACAAAGTAGCAATGTATTAGTGTTTAGCAATTCTGTACAAATATTGACAGGCGCAAAATAATTATAACTATAATAATATATAGATTTTCATAATTTGCAGTTTAGAATTTTTAAAATTACACTTAATTTACAAACGATTTGCACAGCAAGCAACAGTTATTTTAACGCTTCAATGTTCTTCTTTTCCAAATCAAATTACGAGTACATTTGTTAGTATGTAGCCAATTCGTTGCTCACCTTCGCTTGTAAAATACACTTCATCCGCCAGCTCTATTTCTTTGCTACTACTTGTACATTTTGAATCTTCCTCACCTTCACACAGAAAATCCACTTCATCCGGCGGCTCTTTGGCCTCCTCCTTGCACATGGCTATCGTACGCTCATCACCGCTTGTCGACGAGGCTAACGATGTAGTTGCTGTTGTTGTTGTTGTATTGCCAACACCCACCGTTGCATTGCTACTGATGTTGCTGTTACCAATTTCACGTATCAGAAATTGAACATGATCATAACGTTCGNGGTTGTTGTTGTTGTTGTATTGCCAACACCCACCGTTGCATTGCTACTGATGCTGCTGTTACCAATTTCACGTATCAGAAATTGAACATGATCATAACGTTCGATGTCGTCACTTTTGTTTTTGAGTAAACGTAAACATTTCTGCTCCTGCTTATCTGGGTCGCAATCAAAACTGTCCGCCTGTTTGCTACTGCTGCTCATCGAAGAGGCCGAATGAGATTTGGTGCGGCTAAAAGGACAACGGGCTGTGCAAGGGAGAAGTAAAGAGGAAGTGAGTAAATTCTTCAAGTTTTAATGTAATCTAATATAAATTAATCGATAACGGTATTTTGGTAGTTTGTTTGAACAAATTTGAAAGAGCTAGTCATGAAAATCTTCTGGAGATTTACATAATTTTACATGTGATGCAATTAAGATGGCTCCATGTATGTATCCATAAGTAAAGTTGGAGCCATTTACGAGGATATTTCACATGTGAAGACATATCTATCTATCGGTCTCAATCAATACTCACACACATTCATACATATATTCTAAGTGTAGTGCTACTGTTACAATAATTTACCTTGTTTTTTATTGCTAACTTCTGCTGCTGATGATAGCAAAGCCACATCGTCGTCNCCTAAAAGGACAACGGGCTGTGCAAGGGAGAAGTAAAGAGGAAGTGAGTAAATTGTTCAAGTTTTAATGTAATCTAATATAAATTAATCGATAACGGTATTTTGGTATTTTGTTTGAACAAATTTGAACGAGCTAGTCATGAAAATCTTCTGGAGATTTACATAATTTTACATGTGATGCAATTAAGATGGCTACATGTATGTATACATAAGTAAAGTTTGAGCCATTTACGAGGATATTTCACATGTGAACACATATCTTTCTATTGGTCTCTATCAATACTCACACACATTCATACATATATTCTAAGTGTAGTGCTACTGTTGCAATAACTTACCTTGCTTTTTATTGCTAACTTCTGCTGCTGATGATAGCAAAGCCACATCGTCGTCATCATCTACATCGCTTTCGTTGTTATTGTTATTGCTGACGTTATTATTGGTGCTATTGTGATTGTTATTTTCTTCAGGCAGATTTCCAGTGGTTATTGTGCTACTTGATTGCTGTTGTTGTTGTTGTTGTGTAAACACATCTGTGCGGTCATCTTCATCGATGGGATCACCTTTCCGTTTGACGATCTCAATTTCTACTTCAACACCATGCAATTTAGATGCTACAGCCTAAAACGATTTCCAGAAATTGTGTTGTTGAAAGTCGGAGCTTAGGAAATGTTCGTACATATGTATGTACCAGGGTTGTTGCAAATATTCGCATTCGCATTCGCAACCGCGGAACTTCCACATACATTTTAACATTCGCATTCGCTTTCGCATTCGCAATAATCAATGCGGAGCTTTTGTGAATGCGAATATTGTGCAAGTGCCCCAAAAAATATATTAAAACACATTGAGCGCATGGAATGGAACAACAAAACGGATTTGATGGCTTATGGTACCGACAGCGGTGAGTAATTAATTGTGACTGCCTGAAACTAGGAAAAGCCATGCTCACCTAACTAATGAAAAAACTAATTGTAAGCTGTTCATTACAGGTGAACCTTTCCAAGAGGTTACCCGGCAATTAAGCAAATCTGAGACCTTTATCGTCCGTGATTCCAATAATTGAAATTATTATAAAAAACGTGGTACCTTTTTAACAAAATAACAAGATTTTAAACTAATTCTGCTGGCAGCCACGACTTTCAAAACAGAATTTTCTTCGAAATTTTCATTCCTACAAAATAACAATTTATTACCCAGAAGACAGGATTAAAAATTAAGTACAAAAACTAAAATCGAAAAACGCTGATGTCGTAACAGGTTCCTCGAATTCTGAAAAAACCAAAATAATTGGTTCTCCNATTCTGAAAAAACCAAAAGAATTGGTTCTCCAAATTGGAACACAACGGTGTTGAAACAGCGATATTGCCATGATGCTATATTGTGAAGATGAAAGTCAGGAGGATACATCCGAAATTTGCAGCCCCGATGCAATTCTCGAATTATTGAACCGCAAAAAAAAACTCAAGTCCTCTCAACTGGTTCAGCGTCAATCAAAAAGAATTTACAATTTTGTAAAGTTTCAAGTTTTTCAAGTTTGTCGCCTCGAGCGAGTAGTTATTTAATAGCGCAGGTTTGATTTACGACCCGTTAAGAAACAGGCTGTAACCCGAAAAAGCAGNTTGAAAAAGAAGCAAAATTACTCTTCCAATTATTTAATTCAAGTACTAAATAAAAAAAATATTAAAAATTACTAAATTTTCCATTTTTTTACCTAAATCACCTAATGTACTCACCAAAAAATATTTCTTAAAATACAGTGAAAGGTCGTATAGACGGACGCTCTAATAAGCGGTCACATTCTTGGGAACGAACAATATTTGGTTTTTTTTCATACAAGATGCTCTCCCATACACGGACTTTCGGATAAACGGACGCGGACAGGCGAGCTATGAAAAAACTCTCCCATGAGCGGACGCGAAGCTTTAACAAGCGGTCAATTTTGTTTTGTTTTTCAGTCAAATGTTGACTCTTGCGCTTCTAGATATGGATATGTACACAAGAACATAGCCCATATTCAAAAATATTTTCTTTTCTAGAAAAAGTGTTGCCTTTTCGTTGCCAATGGGAAATGAGATTTGTCGGTAGGAAAGAAAACGCAATAAATTTGAATTCATTTATAATTCACCCTGTTTCTGTTTATTGAATAATAAATATTATTTTAGTTTAGAAATCCGCAATTTAAATTTTTTAAATATGATTTTTTATTTATTTAAAAGGTGACCATCGGTGTCCGCATATTGGAGCTTTCACTGTATTTGATATCCGCATTCGCATTCGCATCCGCGGATGTTAGCTTTTAAACATCCGCAGCCGCATTCGCATCCGCGGATGTCTAAAATTCCACATTCGCAACGTCCCTTATATGTATGTACATACCAAACGGGCATATGGGGCGATTCACGTCAAATTTCCCAAACGCGCTGACCGATGCAAAACAAGCTACTTTTCGACGAGCAAAGAGACTATTTCTATAGATTTTNCAGGAGGAGCTAAAAGTCACTTTTATCGGTATATTTTCTTTGACTAACTATATTTTTATGGCTATGGCCCCGAAATAGTCAAGGGTGCTTACTTCTGCATTTGATGTGACTAACTTCTAAGTAACTACTTTTGGACATAAAATATCAATAAGAAAAACAAAATATTTTTTTATTTATTTTTTACTTTATTCTTTTATTACATTTCATATTTCCCATATTCGAACTCCATCAGACATAACTTCAAAATGATAATGTGAAAGTTCGATCTTCCTTTTATTTGTCCCCAATTTGAAAAAAGTATTTGTGAAGTGCAGGATATTTAAATAAAAACGCGTTTAAAGGAAACAATCTCCTTCATTACTCCAGCAATACTTTTCAACTAGTTTCAAGTAAGCTATTTGTAGCTAACTACATGTTATTTATTTTATAGAAATTCCGAAAAAAAGCTAACTATAAGTGAGGTTTTTTTATCAATTGATAATTTTTTTCTGCAAGGTACATATGCTCAACACACACATCTGCAATAGCATTATAATCTGTGTGAATTTGCAGATATTTGCTATGAATTTTCGCATCCTTTACATACAGTGAAGTCGTAAGTCGATGGATGTGACACAGAAAAAGCATCGTCGTATAGACCCTACAAGAAAAAAGAAGAAGAAGAAGCTATAATTCTTTCGGCCGCACAGTGTAAGATTTGACCCATCTAGCTGCTTTTAATTCTGTAATTCGAAAACTATTGAAGATAGATTAACGAAATTTTGCACAGGGTACGTTATAAGATAGGCGAAGCTTTTTACAAAAAATTGGTAATTTACAGTTACTGTCACGCCACCCCATTATATAACTGCAATTTTAAAAAATGCAAAAACTGAAATATTTAACTAATTACAAGCTAAAATGCCTAAAATTTATATTTAGAATTTCCCTATAACAGGACTGACAAACTGAAAGAAATGGACTTAAAAATAAATATATTTTTTTTTAATTATGGGCGTGGAAAATATCGATAAAAAAGTCAAGTTGGGTCAACATAATTCCGTTATAAGTTCAATATTTCTTGCTCTATTTACCAAAATGGGATACCATTGGAAATGTAATGAATCAGGCTTCTTCTATTCAAAGCAAAAATACAAGAATTTGTCTCGAGCGAGATAAAATGCAAATGAATTACTCGAAGAAAATGACTTTGGCCGAGCTCAGCAAAGCACGCCAGTCGTTTCTATTCAGTGCCAACTGACGCCAATTGGAAACGCCAAGTGAAGCCAAGTCCTTCTTGATCTTTCCATCGCAGTGGGGACCTCCCTCTTCCTTGCTACCTCCAGCAGGTTCCGAGTTAAATACTTTCAGAGTTGGAGCGTCGGTATCCATTCGAACGACATGGCCAAGCCAGCGGAGCCGCTGTAAACTGAACCTTTCAGCCACAATACTTTAAAAGAGCGTACAATTGGTGGGCCAGAATTTGATAGAATTTTTCTCGCGATTGTTCGCACACATGAAAAGCAAAGAATTTTTTTAACCTTGCTTTCTTGAAGCAGAATCTAAAAATGTGTTGATTTTTCTTTGAAAATCGGCCTTGTTTCGGATATGGGATTCCAAGTGGTGGAACGGAAAAGTTTTTATTATGAATACCCCCACTTAATGACAGTCTACTCTATAAAGTTAAAACTAATTAACAAGCATATAAGCTTATATTTAGTGAGTTTAAAAGTTTTGAATAGAGCCTTTTGATCTTTTATGATATTTTAGGTCCACCTTATACACGGTATGGCTTGTGGCGTGTACGAGATATTGCTTTGGAACAATCAAGTTTAAGATGTTTAAGATTAGTATTTTTGGAGTCAGACTAAATCAGAAATTGCCAGCAAGTACTTAAACGTGACATAGTACTCTAAAATCAGCAGAGGCAGTTACTCGAAAAAAAAAATCAAAACTGGGAATATTAGACTTCCAATTTGCATCTGAAGTAAATTATTTAGGTGTTGTTCTACATAGTAAAGTTTAATGTAAGTCTCCGTTGTACAAAACACCCCAAAGCATTAAAATCATTGTAGTAATGTATGTTGACAAGTTTTGATAAAAGGTGGGGTCGCCTATAGGATTGCCATGGATTTACATCTGTATGATAACATCCATTATCAGTATGCATCTGCGGTATGGTGAAGCAGACCACCAATCAATATTTGCTCACCAATCTTCAAGTAAAGCGCACACTCTCTCTCCACACCATCTGTGGCGGCTCCGGAAGCACTGCTAAACCCACAGGATTTACCGCAGAGAGGCCATTAAGACCAACTGTAGGCTTAATAGAAGTGGGCGCTGGTATGACACAGTGTGAAGTGATGCCGACTGCAATGACTTTTCAATGCCACAGTATATACAATGTTGAGTTCTCCGAACCTGAGTGCTGGCTAAATCTAATACGGAGCCTGGGTTTACACACTGAAGAAATCTCACTGATGCGCTATGATCCCGCAGATCATAAATTTTGGCGAATATATGAAGCCATGTTGATCGATTTTAATAATTATTACAAATCTGAAGTTAAGGCGGATGCCTTATGGTGGACGAATATAAAAGAGTTATGACAGATTTTGACACAGCCGACAATTTTGTCGATATTTTTTTGGAGCGATAGATTCAACAGATCCCTCAATTTCAATCAAGAATGTAAACAAAAAATTTTGGATCAAAAGCGCCGCACATTGTCACCAGAAAGCACAGCTTTACTTGAACTTCCAACCCCCAAGGAGACTAATGGGGTTGATTGAGATGACCTTTGTTCTTCCAAATCTGAAAATGAAGAGGAATCAGGAAACGAACTCCCCGCTGTGGAATTTAAAGCAAAGAAAAAGAATTATAAAATACTTAAAGATATACACAGAAAATTAATAAAAACAATAAAAAAATTATAAAAAATCTAAGAATTAAAAAAAGTAAAAAGTGGGTGCAAATATGACCCTTCAACCTCCATCTAGTGGACCCTGGATAATCCATTTGTCGTAAGCTAACTGCAGGCGTTACAGTAAAAATTCAGATTCCGAAAATGTTCTCAAAGTCATTTAAATTTCGTGGTAAATTCGCTAGGTGAACTTAGCACAGTGCGTGGGCAACTGTCTGAGTCGGTGGGATCGTCGG